AAAGGGGAAGATGGATAAAGAGATAATGAATGACAATGAAAGGGGAGGATGGATAAAAGGAGATAATGAATGAGATAATGAATGAAAAGAGATAGTGGATCAATGGAAGGATGGATGATGGAGGAATAAGAGAATGCATGAAAGGGGAGGATGAATGTGAAAGGAGAGATTGGATGAAAGGGGAGGATGGATAAAAGGAAAAATGAATCAATGAAAGGGGAGGATGATAAAATGAGATAATGAATGAAAAGAGATAGTGATGAATGGAAGGATGGATGATGGATGAAGAAGGAATGATGGAGGAATAAGAGAATGCATGAAAGGGGAGGCTGAATGTGAAAGGAGAGATTGGATGAAAGGGGAGGATGGATAAAAGGAGATAATGAATGACAATGAAAGGGGAGGATGGATGAAGTGAGATAATGAATGAAAAGAGATAGTGGATGAATGGAAGGAGAAGATAGATGAAATGAGAAATTGGATGAAAGGGGAGGATGGATGAAAGGAGATAATGAATGAAAAGAAGGAAGAAGAAGATGGAGGAATAAGAGAATGCGTGAAAAGAAGGGATGGATGAATGGAGAGACTGAATAAAGGGGGAGGATAGATGAAAAAATGAATGAAAGGAGAAGATGGATGAAAGAAGAGGATGAATAAAAGGAGATAACGAATAAAAGGAGATAACAAATAAAAGGAGAGAATGAATAAGAGGAAAGATAGAGATGTGAGAAAGGGGGGAGTTTTTTTTACGTAAAAGCTATAGAGGTTTGAATAAAGGAGGAATAGAGAGAATGAGAGGAAGAAGACATAAGGAAGTTTTTTCTTTCTTTCTTTCTTTTCCTCATTCGTTCTTTTCTCTAGACCTTTTCCTCTTCTTCCTCTTTTTCCTCCTCCTTCTTCTTCCTTTCTATTCTTTCTTTTTTATCCTCCTCTTTCTTTTCTACTTCTTTTTCTTTTTCTTCTTTTTTTAGTTTTTTTTTCTCTCTTCCTCCTCCCTCCTCCTTCTTTTCCTTCATCCTTCTCTCCCTCCCCCTCTTCTTCATCCTCACCTTCTCTTTCCCTCCTTTTTCGTATCTTTTCTTGTTCTTATTTTCGTAAGCAAAAAAAAAAGATTGATAGAAAAAAATCTTAAATGATTTAACGTTAACCTCTGTCTTTCAATATTCCTGTTTTATAAAGTTAAAAGGAATATCCAAAAGTGTTTATTTGTCTCTCTCTTTTTCTCTTTGTTACTAAGCACATTCAAATATCCACATCCACATTCTGACGAAGTTTTTTATTATCCACATCTAAACTATTATTTAGATTAATTTGATTCTTTTTTTTTAATTCACATTTAGGCTTTTATTTACATTTTTAAACATTCTTTCACATCCACAAAAAAAAAAAAAATATTTACACATACAGTCAAGTTTTGAATTACATTTTATATCTTCGTTTTCATCCTACTTTTTTTTTTCTTTTTTTTTTTTTACATTCACATCCATATCCTATAAATGTCGGCTATTCCATATTTAAACTATTCATTCACATCCACTTCTGAGCGTCCATTCACATCCTCATCCATATATCCAACCTCATCCTCATCCACATCCTCATCCACATATCCATCCACATTCACATCCACATCTGAACGTCCATTCACATCCCCATATCCACATACCCAGCCTTTTCCTCATCCATATCCACATATCCATTCACATCCACATCCTCATCCACATATTCACATCCGCATATTCATCCACATCCTCATCCACATATCCATATCCATCCACCTCCTCATCCACATCTTCATTCACATCCACATTCCAGTCCCCATATCGACATCCTCATCCTCATCCTCATCCATCCATATCCACATTCACATCCACATCATATCCACATATTCACATCCGCATATTCATTCACATACCTGAATCCACATTCTCATCCCCATATCCATCCACATCTCATCACATCCACATCCCCAATTCATTCACATCCACATCCACCCACTCCTCATTCACATCCACATATCCATCCTCATCCACATATCCACCCACCTCCTCATCCACATCCAATCCATCCTCATCCCACCCATCCATCCACATCTTCATTCACACCCTCACCCACATCCACCCATCCATCCACATCCACATACCATCACATTCCACATATCCATCCTCCATCCCCATATCCACCACCTCCTCATCCACATCTCACCCACATCCCCATCCCATTCACATCCATATCCAATCCATTCACATATCCACATATCCATTCACATCCCATATACCATCACCATCCACATCCACATCTTCATTCACAACCACATATCCATCCACATCCACATATCCACTTCCACATCCACACCTTCATTCACATCCACATCCGAGCGTCCATTCACATCCTCTCCGCCCGTGCATTCACACCGGCCCCTTCCTCCTCCTCCGCCTCAGTCCGGGAGAGCACACACGCCCACCCAGTCGCTGTGTCCTCCGCCCTTCTCCATTCATGTATCCTTTTATTCTCCTTTTTATGCCTCTTCTCTCCGTCTACTGTGTTCTTGGGTTCTTGGGTTTTTGGTTTTTTTTTTTTGTGTGTGTGTTTGTTTGTGTTTGTTTGTGAGGATGTTTGTGGGGTTTTGGTTTTTTTATGTCTGTTTACATGATTTTATGTCTGTTTTTTTTTTTTTCTTCTTTTTTTTGTCTTTTTTTTTCTCCCGTTTGTTGCAGTGTGTTTTCTGTTCTCTCCTCTCGTCTCTCGTCTCTCTCTCTCTCTCCTCTCTCTCTCCTCTCTCTTCTCTCTCTCTCTCTCTCTCTCTCTCTCTCTCTCTCTCTCTCTCTCTCTCTCTCTCTCTCTCTCTCTTCCCTCCTTCCTCTCCTTTCTCCTTCCTTCGGCTCTTTCCTCTGCGATCCTCCTTTCTTCTCCTTTCATTTATCTCTACCTCTTCTCCTTCTTCTTCTTCTTCTTCCAATTCTCTTCTTCTTCTTCTTCTCTTCTTTCTTTTCTTTCTTCTTCTTCTTCTTCTTCTTCTTCTTCTTCTTCTTCTTCTTCTTCTTCTTCTTCTTCTTCTTCTCTCCTCTTCTTTCCTCTCCTCCTCCTCCTCCTCCTCCTCCTCCTTCCTGCTCCTCCCTCTCCTCCTCCATCAATCTCATTTTTCTTTCTCCCTTATCTTCGCCTTCCTCTCTCCTCTCTTTTCTCCTCTTTTCCTCCTTCTTTACCTTCTTCCTTGTTCTTGCTTCTCTTTATCTTTTATCCTTCTTTTCTTTTTCTCTTCCTTATCTTCTTCTCTCTTTTCTCCCTTCCTTAGCCTCCATTATTGTTCTTTATCTCTATCATCATATTTTCTTTTTATTATTCTTCATTATCAGTTGTTACTATTTATATCATATCATTGTTTTCTTATCACATATTATCAGTATATTTCCTTTTGTCTATTTTCATTATCATTGTTACATTATCATCACATATCTCTTATTATCATCAATCATCATCAATTAGTAGTAGATAGTAGTAGTGGAAAGTCGGTTGTATTAGTGTATTATCATCACTCTATCATCGTTATCATTATCATTGTCATTTTTTTTCATCATATTATTATTATCATTATGATTATTATGATCATATCTTTTTTATCATTGTTGTCACTGTCTATTATATTTTGTTTATTACTATTATTATTATTATTATTATTATTATTATTAATTATTTTATCATTATTATCATATTGTACTCTTCCTCCTCCTCTTCTTCTTCCCTCTTCCTCCTTCCTCCTCGCCTTCCTCTCCTCTTCCTCTTTGCTCTCCCTCCCTCTCCTCCTCCCTCCTCCTCCTCCTCCTCTCCTCCCTACTCCTCTCCTCCTCTTCTCTTCTTCTTCTTCCTCTTCCTCCTCCTCTCCTCCTTCTTCTCCTCTTCCTCCTCCTCCTCCTCCTCCCTCCTCCTATCCTCCTCTTCTTCTTCTTCTTCTTCTTCTTCTCCTTCCTCCTCCTCTTCCTCCTTCCTTCCTCCTCCCCTCCTCCTCCTTCCTCCTCCTCCTTCCTCCTCTCCTCCTCCTCCTTTCCTCCCTTCCTTCCTCTCCCTTCCTCCCCCTCCTCCCCCTCCCTCCTCCTCCTCCCTCCTCCTCTCCTATCCTCCATCCTCCACCCACCACCTCCTCCCCCTCCTTCCTCCTCCCTCCTCCCTCCCTTCCTCCTTCTCCCTCATCCTCCTCCCTTCCTCCTCCTCTCCTCCCCTCCATTCCTCCTTCCCCTCCTCCTCCTCCTCCTCCGAAGCGCTCCTCCACCTGCGCCCACGGGATGATGCCCTAATGCCGCCCGCCATCCTTGAGTGGTAGTGGGCGGCACCAACGCGCCTTTCTATGGCTACTCGACGCCGCCCGTCCAGGACTCCGACACCATCTGCTGCGGGCGTGGAGGGAAGGGGGAAGGGGAGGGGGGGAGGGGTTGGAGGGGGAGGAAGGAAGGAAAGAAAGGAAAGGAGGGGGGAAGTGGTGGGGGTTGATTGTTGGGTGGAGGGGGGAAGGGGGGAGGGATGGAGGGGTTGGAAGGGGAGGAGGGGTTGGAGGGGGGAGGGGAAGGAAGGAGAAAGGAAGGGAGAGGAGGGGAAGGAAGGAGAAAAGGAAGGGATAGGAGGAAGGAAGGAGAAAAGGAGGAAGGGGAGGTGAGGAGGGGGTCTTTTGGAGGGGGAAGGGGGGGGGGCATGGGGGGAAGGAGGGAAGAGGAGGGGGAAGGAAGAGGGAAAGGTGGAGGTGATTGGTTCGGGAGAAGGAGGGGGGTGGGGGATGAGGGTGGAGTGTAAGGGTTGGAGAAGTAGGAAGGAGGAGAAAGGAGGAAAGGAGAAAGAAGGGATTATGGAGGAAGGAAGGAGAAAAAGGGGTTGGTGGAAGGGACGAGAGAGCAAAGGATTGAAAAGATTGAGAACATGAAATTGAGGGAAGAAGGAGATGGTTGGGGAAAGAAGAAGAAGAAGCGAGGGGGAAGGAGGGGATGTTTAGGGGAGATTAGATGGGCGGGGGGAAGATAGGGGTTAGATGGGGGAGGGGAGGTAGGAGGGGATTAGGATGGAGGGGGAAGGGGGAGGGTGAGAGGAGAGGAGAGAAAATCGAAAAATGGGGGAGGGGAAGGATTGTAGAGTAATGAGAAAGGAAGAGGGGAAAGGAGAGAAGAAGGGGAGGGGAAAGATGGGGAGGAATAAGAAGAGGAGGAGGAGGGGGGAAGAAGAGAAGAGGAAGAGGAGAGAAGGAAATGAGAAGAGGAGGATGGGGAGGAATAGAAGAGGAGGAGGGGAAAGCGAGAGAGGAGAAGGAGGAGGGGAATTAATAGAAGAGGAGGAGGAGGAGAAGGAAATGAAAGGAAGGAGGAGGAGGAGTGGAAGGGAGAGAAGAGGAGGAAGAGGTGAAGGATGAGAAGGACGAGGAAGCAGAGGTAAGAAGTAGAGAGAGATAAAAGAAGCAGAAGAAAGAGAGGAGATACAGAAAATCGAAGAAAAGAGATTAGACAGATCGAAAATTAGTAGACGAAATAGATTTGAAAAAGACAAAGAAAGAAAGAAAAAATAAAGAAAGAAGGGGACAAACAAGGAGATGAAAAAAAAATCTTCAGAATAGAGAGCAATAAGTAGAAACGTAAAGAGAAAAAGAATAAACAAAAAAAAGTCTTAATAAAGAGAAGAGAAGAAGGCGAGAAATGAAGATGACGAAATAAAGAATGAAAGGAAGAGGAAGAAAAGAATGAAGAAGAAAGGCAAGAAGAGAAAAAGAAGAAGAAAAGAAGAGAGGAAAAAGGCAAAAAAGAAGAGAAAGAAAAACGAAAAAGAAAAAATGAACAATAAAGACACAAAGAAAAAAACAAAACAAAACCAAGAACAAGGACAAGAGACAAGAAAAAAAGACATGAGAGAACACGTTACAAGCGAAAGAAGAAACTTTAAACTTCGAAGTAAAAATGACTGTTCAGGAAAGCGCGTTGAGTGAGTGATGGTCTTTCTGACAAAAATTCAGGATTTTTTTCATCATTACTCTCTTTATTGTTATCTATTATTATTGTTATGTTATTATCACTGTTATTCTTATTATCATTATCACTGTCATTATTCTTAACTCTTTAAAATCATCATACCATCATAAAATCATCATTCATCATCATTATATCACCATCATCAGCAATATCATCATTATCATCAATTATCATCACATCATCATCATTATCATATCATTATTATCAATTATCATCCCATCATCATCATCATCATCATCATCATCATCATAAACATCATCATCATCATCATCAATCACATCATCATCATCATCATCATTATTATCATTCATCATTATCATATCATTATTATCATCATCATTATCATTATCATTCATCATTATCATTACCATCTGTCACCATCAACAACCACCTGTTCCACCTAGTCCACCCATCACAACCACCTTCCCATCTTTCACCATCACAACCACATGTTCCCACCCTGTACCATCACACCACCTAGTTCCCACCTAGTCTCACCATCACAACCACCTGTTCCCACACCTCGTCACATCACAACCACCTTCCCACCTGTCACCATCACAACCACCTGTCCATCTGTCACCGTCACAAACCACCTAGTTCCCAGCTGGTCACCTATCCCACAAACCACCTGTTCCCACCTGTCACCATTCCACAACCAACCTCGTCCCCATCTGTCACCATCACAACCACCTGTTCCCACCCTGTCACCATCACAACCACCCTGTTCCCAACCTGTGTCACCATCACAACCACCTCGTTCCCACCTGACTTGTCACCATCAACCAACACACCTGTTCCCACCTGTCCCATCACAACCACCTCGTCCCTCATCGTGGTCACCATCACAACCACCTGTTACCCACCATGTCACCATCACAACCACATGTTCCCACGCTCGTCACCATCACAACCGACAACCACCTTCTTACCATCTGCACCACTTCACAAACCACCTGTCCCATCTCGGTCACCATCAAACCACTGTTCCCACCTCCCTGTCACCATCACAAACCAATGTTCCCACCTGTTCACCATTTCACAAACCACCTTTCCATCTGTTTCACCATCACAAACCACCTGTTCCCACCTGTCACCATCACAACCACCTGTTCCATCTGTCACCGCGTCACAACCACCTTTTCCATCTGTTCACCCATTCACAACCACCTGTTCCCACCTGTCACCATCACAACCACAAAACTGTTTCCATCTGTCCACCATCACAACCACCTGTTCCCATCTGTCACCATCACAAAACCACCTGTTTCCCATCTGTCACCATCACAAAACCACATGTTCCCATCTGTCACCATCACAACCCCTTGAATCCATCTGTTCACCATTCACAACCACCTGTTCCACCTGTCACCATCAACAACCACCTCGTTCCCCCACCTGTCACCATCACAACCACCTGTCCCACTGGCACGTCACCAACCACCTGTTTCCATCTGAGTCACCATCACAACCACCTGTTCCCACCTGTGCACCATCACAACCACCTGTTTCCCACCTGTCCACCATCACAACACCTGTTCCATCTGTCACCATCACAAACCACTGTTCCCACCTGGTTCACCATCACAACCACCTGTTCCCATTCTTCACCCATTCACAACACCTGTTCCCAGCTGTCACCATTCACAACCACCTGTTCCATCTGTCACCATCACAAACCACCTGTTCCCATCTGTCACCATCACAAAACCCACCTGTTCCCATCTCTCACCATCACAACCACCTGTTCCCTTTCTGTCACCATTCACAAACCACCTGTTTCCATCTGTCACCATCCACCACCCACCTGTTCCCATCTGTCACCGATCACAACCACCTGTTCCCAGCTGTCACCATCACAACCACCTTGTTCCCACCTGTCACCATCACAACCACCTTTCTGGTTCCCTGTTCCCACCTGTCACCATCACAACCACCTTTTCCCTTCCTGTCACCATCACAACCACATGCTTCCCATCTGTCACCATCACAACCACCTGTTCCCATCTGTCACCATCACAACCACCTGTTCCCATCTGTCACCATCACAACCACCTGTTCCCATCTGTCACCATCACAACCACCTTGTTCCACCTGTCACCATTCACAACCACCTGTTCCCAGCTGTTCCACCGTCACAACCACCTGTTCCATCTGTCACCATCACAACCATCTGTTCCACCTGTCAACCATCACAACCACCTGCTTCCCATCTGTCACCATCACAACCACCTGTTCCATCTGTCACCATCACAACACCTGTTCCCTTCTGTCCACCATCACAACCACTTGTTCCCATCTGTCACCATCACAACCACCTGTTCCCACCTGTCACCATCACAACCACCTGTTCCCATCTGTCACCATCACAACCACCTGTTTCCATCTGTTCCCCATCACGACCACCTGTTCCCATCTGTCACCATGTCACCACCACCTGTTCCCAGCTGTTCCAGCCGTCACAACCACCTGTTCCCATCTGTCACCATCACAACCACCTGTTCCCATCTGTACCATCACAACCACCTGTTCCCACCTGTCACTTTTACAACCACCTGTTCCCATCTGTTCATCACTCTATCCCACGTAACACTGTCTTTGTACCTGAATCACCACCTGTTTCATCACCTTCCATATTCTTGTTTGTTTTTATTTGTTACCATCTGGGTATGTTAGGCTACCAGCTGAAGGCCAGTTTCTTTCTTTCTTTCTTTCTTTCTTTCTTTCTTTCTTTCTTCTTTCTTTCTTTCTTTCTTTTCTTGTTTTCTTTCTTACGTTTTTCTTTGTTTTTTTCTTACTTTTTCTTTTTTCTTTCTTAACTTTTCTCTTTCTTTCTTTTTCTTTTCCCTTTTCTTACATTTTCTTTGTTTTCTTTCTTACTTTTTCTTTTTTTCCTTCATACTTTTTTCTTTTCTTTCTTTCTTTCTTTTTCTTTTTTTTTTTTTTTTTTTTTTTTTGCTTTCTTTCTTTTTTCTTAATTTCTTTTCCCTTTTTTTTGCTTATTACAGTTACTCTAACCATCTGTTACTAATGAAATTTAAAACAATCTTATCATTTTTCTGTATCTATCTCGTGTCACCATCTGTTGCCACCTGTCTATATTTTGCTTTATCAGTTATCTCCTATTTCACCATCTGTAAATCTATTTTACCTGTTGCGCGTCGTTAAGTAAAATATGGCACCATCTGTCTCACCATCTTTTGGGGACTAGATGCTTCCCCTTATCCTATTTCACTCGCACCCCGCCCTTACTTCCCTCTCTCTTGCCCCTCCTCTTCCTCTCTTTCTACTTCCTCCCTCTTTCCTCCCTCCCCCTCTTTTTTCCCTCTCCCTCTCTTCCACTTATCTCCCTCTTTCTTCCCTACCCCTCTCTTCCCCTTCTCTCCCTCTCTTTCCCCCTTCCTCCCTCTTTCTCCCTCTCCCTCTCGTTCCCCCTTCCTCCCTCTTTCCTCCCTCCCTTCCTGTTTCCCTTCTCTTCCCTCTCTTTCCCCCCCCCCCCTCTTTCCCCCCCTCCCTTTCCTCTTTCCTCCTCCTCTCTCTTCCCCTTCTCTCCCTCTCTCCCCCCCTCCCTTCCCTTTCCTCCCTCCCTCTCCTTCCCCTTCTCCCCTCTCTTTCCCCCTTCCCTCCTCCCCCCTCTTCCCCCTTCCTCCAATGGCTGTTACTGCACCTCACTATATCCTTCATTACCTGTGTCTATATATCACCATAAGTCATCTTTCCACCTATCTGTTGACACCTTGTAACTGTTTATCCACCTGTTGTTATCTTGTACTACCTGTTTAGCTGTCTGGTTCTGCTTAATACCTTCTACCTGGTCATTAACTGCTACCTTATACCACCTGGACGGCCAGCTGTTGCTACCTTATACCACCTGTTTGGTTACCTGTTGCTGCCTTATACTACCTGTTTGGTTACCTGTTACTGTCTTATACTACCTGTTTGTACCTGTTGTGGTACCTTTCGTCTAGCCACCTGTTGCTAACTTATAGCATCTGTCTGGCCAATTGTTGCTACATAACTACTATTATTAGCAACACCTTGCCACCTGCCAATATCTGCCACCACCTGTTTCCATCTGCCATTACCTGATACTATCTCTCCACTTATTACTATCTGACCCCCTTTGACATCACTTGTTACACCTGGCAATCTTCTGCACCACTTGTTACCATCTGCCAACCCCCGGTCATCACCTGACAAACCATCTGTTACCATCTACCACCACTGCAGCAACTGTCCATACATTCCACCACCTTCCACCACCTGCCACCATCCTACCCTCCTCTTACCGCTCTCTCTCCCCCTCCTCCCCTCTCCCACTCTCATCCCTCTTTCTTACTCTCTTCTGACTTGATTTTCTTCTTTTTCGTCTCTTCCCCTTCGCTCTCTTCTCTCTCTCTCTCTCTCTCTCTCTCTCTCTCTCTCTCTCTCTCTCTCTCTCTTCTCTCTTCTCTCTCCTCTCTCTCTCTCTCTCTCTCTCTCTCTCACCTTTCCTTCTCCTTCTCTCTCCTCTCCCTCCTCTGGTTCTTCTTCGATCCCCCTATCTCTCTCTCTCTCTCTTCCTCTTCCTCTTCTCTCTCCTTCAACCTCTTTTCGTGTCTTTTACGTCTTTATCTTCATCTTCATCGCATTATCTTCATATCTCCTTCTTCATCTCTCTTTTGTTTGTTTTTTCCTCTTCTCTTTCGTAAATATTTTCTTTTCTCGACTTCCCCACTTACTCTTTCATATCTTATTTTCATCCTAATTTCACTTTATCTTTATCTTTAATCTTTTCTCGCATGTACGTACGCACACACACATGGCATACACACACACACACACACAACACACATACACACACACACACACACACACACACACACACACCACACACACACACACACACACACACACACACATCACACACACATACACACTCACACATGCACACACACACACACACACACACACACACACACACACACACACACACACACACACACACACACACACACACACACACACACACACACACACACACACAACACACACACACACACACACACACACACACACACACACACACACACACAACACACAACACACACACACACACACACACACACACACACCACACACGCACACGCACCACACACACACACACACACACACACACACACACCCACACACACACACACAACACACACACACACACACACACACACACACACACACACACACACAGCACACACCACACACACACACACACACACCACACACACAACACACGCACACACGAAACACACATAAAAAAAAGCTTACGCATTCCCTCCCGCAGAACACACAACAGCTAAAAGCGTCCGCCCCCCCCCCGCTACCCCACCTACACACACACGACTCACTACGCATTCCCCCCCCCTACCCGACTCCGCACGCACACACACATACGCCACACAGGCTCATGAGCTCTTTCAACCTCGAGTGGCAAAGCTAGTGTGATTGTGTGGGTGTGGTGAGTTGGGGTGGTGTGCTTAGTCCGTCTCGTGTGTGGTTGTTGTGTTTGGTGTGTGTGTGTTCGGTGTGTGCTATCTGTGACGATCTGGTGTGTGGTGGTGTGGGCGTGCGTGTGGGATCCCCAGGGTGCCTGTGTGCTGTGTGTGTGTGTGTGTGGTGTGTGTGTGTGCGATGTGTATGAGTAATGAATATGAATATGAGTGTGAATATGATATGAGGTGAGTGTAGAAGTAATGAATATGAATATGAGCAATTGTGAGTATGAGTATGAGTAACGAAGTATGAGTATGTGAATTATGTGAGTCGATGGAGTATTATATATGAGTGTGAATATGCAGTATAAATGGAGGTAGAGTGGGGTGGAATATTGAGGTGAATTATAGAAGTATTGCATGTGAACTATGAGTTATTAATATGAGTATAGGGTGAATATGAGGAGTGAGTATGAGTGTGAATATTGCAGTGAGTATGGGAGTAATGAAAGGGATGAAGTGAGCGAGTACCAGAAACCAGGGGGACGAGGGACAAGGTATGAATTAATGATCATGAATATGACTACGGAGTATTGAAAAATAAGTAATGGTGAATATGACTCCAACCCATGGAATATTGAGTAAAGGAATTATGAGTGTAAGAGTGAGTGTGTATGAGCACGAGCATGAAAATGAGTAATGAAGTATGACTACAAAGCCATGAATATGAGTAAAGAGTATGAGTGTAAGAGTGAGTGTGCATGAACACGAGTATGAATAAAGAGTAAATTAAATACGACTCCAAGCATGAATTACTGATGCTAAGTGTGAGTGTGTATGAACACGAGTATAAAAAAAATGAGTAAATGAACGATGACTACAATCAAATGAGTATGAGTAAAGAGTATGAGTGTGAGTGTGAGTGTGTATGAGGAGAGCTTTCGCTGCATCAGGAGGAAGGTACCTGTTGTTTATACCTTGTGTCAGAGAGGGCGCTAACATGACCAAAAAGTTCCGTGGGTGGGGGAGGGGAGGGTGGGAGGAGGGAGGAGGGGGAGGAGGGGAGAGGGAATGGAGGTGGTGGAGGGGTGAGGAAGGGTTGGAGAGAGGAGGGATGGGTAGGGAGGATGGGTTGAGGAAGGGGAGGGATAGAGGTGGTGGAGGGGTGGGGGGAGGGGAGAGAGGGGGAGGGAATGGAGGAGGTTGGTGGAGGGGTGAGTTAAGGATTAAAGGGGGGAGGGAGGGAGGAGTGGAAGGGTGGATAAAAAGGGAGGAGAGGACGAGGTAGTGAGGGAGGGGGGGGGGAGATGGAGGGATGAAGGTAAAGCGGAGGAGAATGAGGGAATGACGTAATTAGGACAATAAGCATTTTCTCCTTCTTCACTTTTATAATTAGATAACCTACTCGTTCATTACGCAATCGACGCCGGTCAATTCATTCATTTTCTTACCTGTTCACTTGCCTAATTACTTTGAATATATGGAGTATAGGGATAGGTG